CTTCCCACTCTACTCCACTCCACCCCGCCTGCCTGCCGATCCACCCACCCTCGTTGCCTCTCGCCCGCCCTTTTCGCCCGGGGAGGTTTCCATCACGACCCGGCTTTTCATCTCGATGCTGTAAATGTCGGGATGTCGACACGTGACCTACGTTAAGACTGGAGAATCGTGTGCAATACCGCCATCGGTGGAGCCGGCGCTTGTCGAATGTAACGCGGCAGCGATTTTTGACGATTCGTCGCGCCGGCGATCGAGGTGGAAGAGCGATTGGGATTCCAATGAATGCGGCGTGATCGGAAGAGCATTGTAGTGCCCGTCCGGCTCTCGGGCCTTGCACCGGCTGTGAATGTGCTGTTGATTGCGTTTAATGACATGCGTCAGTTTTCCCGAACCAATTGTGTGCCGACTGAACGAGAATGAATGAATGAATGAATGAATGAATGAATGAATGACCTTTTTGTCAGTGATGGACTTTTTTGAAACAAATCAGCTATAAAGATGTATTTGATCGCCGTGATACTTCCCAAATCTATCCCCAGTTTGACAGAAAGTGACAATGTTTATTTCCATACCATTTTTAATTAAGTGCGTAGTGGAAACAGAGGTTTTATGTTAGTTCATAATGATTAAGGATCCAAGAGAGATCAATCACAAAGGTTTTTAAAAATACACTTAATTGTATCAATGAGATTCACGAAATATTTGTCGGTTAATTATCATTTCCAATTAAACTCTAGGCGTATAACGAATGTATGTGTGTCATATTGTTTGAGAACTGAGGTATACTGCGGTTATATAATTGCTGCAAGTATTTTAAATTAATTAACTTTGGTATATTTAGACATTTTGTTATGTTAAAACATTACAGTTAATCATATAGTAGAGCGTACCATAGGTAGAGATAGAAAGCACCACTACATAACAAAAAATTCTAGCTATCAAAAGTAGAATGCAGCCAAGGAATAAAACTGTCCTTCGTGAGTCGTTGATTAGCCCACAACGCAAACATGCATCCGCTTCACATCAAACTGGGCCTCTTGAAAAAGTTCGTGAAGTCTCTAGACTTCGACGTTGATGCATTTCGGTACCTGCGCAACAAGTTTCCAGAGTTGAGTTATGCAAAAGTGAAAGGTATGTTCAGTTCCACAAATAAGAAAGGTAATTGCTGACAACCACTTATAGACTTACTGAATGATACTGAAAAAAAATGTATGGATGTCAATCATATCAGTCGATGCCAATTTCCTTGGAAATTACTGCTGCGTAAATGTTGTGAAGAAGTGCCTACAAACAGCTGGATGTCAATATGTCCCTCAAAAACGTCTCCTCGACTCACATCTTGACGTCTTCCCCGAAAGCCTAGTTTAAGTCAGAGAAAACACGATTTTCATCAGGAAATCACGGTGATGGAGTCGCGGTATCAGGGTCGATGGAGTACAGTTGACTACCGCTGGACACTTCAGTGTGACATGCCAAATGCTCAGCACAAACGCATATCTACAGCCAATATATTCAAACCAAATACACCTTACATTAAGTATTTTTAATGTGAAAGGATTTAATCTATTATACCTTGAAATATATACTGCTATGTAACATACGTCTCATGAGACTCAATCTCACTATTTTCTTAGCTAATTCCATTTTAATTAGTGCTCTATGTAACAATACTTTTTTCTAGTGAAATACAAATAGTTGGAGTAAAGAGGTCGTAGAGACAAAGAGTGATAAAGATAATTTGAATCAACACGTTTCACATTTCGTAAAACACGTGTTAGATTAAAAAATATCCGCCAATTTTTAAAATTTGTTTTTCAGTGCAATGCCATATATTGGATGGCCGTTAGCTCGGATGTTCAATTTATTTTTTTAAATTATTGTTTGTCTGAATGATGTGATGGTAATAATGCGAGCAGTGACAAATAATGCGAAAAAGTGTGTGCTGTGTTAGCGACCAGTAGTTATCATTTTTACAAATTTCGAAGAGTTGGATATGATGTGAAAGCCAGCACTGCAATGTGTGGTGTCTTTTCTTTTCCTTGTACGATTCCTGGCTGGTGTCCAGGCTAGTAGAATCGTTGAATTCACACGAAATAGTTGAGCAGGCAGGTGACGTAGGTCGTCGAACGGGTTGGCCAACGTCCGCCCTCCCCTCTCCCCTCTGACTCATCGCGTGGCTCGCGCTCGTTTATCGTCCACTTCGAAGTAGTTGTCCGCCTGCGGAATGGGAAATGCATTCTCTCCTCCTCCTCCGCCGCCGCCGCTGCGGTGCCCTGCCGGATGTGGCACGGCGCGGATGACTCCGGCCATCGGCCACACCTTGCTACGCTCTGGCCTTTCTGCAATCACAGTATATTCTGCATGCCGAAAGTCGCTTCGAGGGGTGGGGGAGCGTAGTTTTAAGTCTGCAACTGATTGTAACGTTATGGAAATTCGTACTAAATCCATGATTACCTTCAAGTTTGGGAGGCAAAACCTACAATGGATGTAAATCATTGTGAAAATGAAATTAATCGTCTGTAATAACATAAATTTAGTTTTCCAGAAATCCACCTTCATGAGAAGTGAACCAGATTAGCTGTGCGACTCCGTCCAATTAGCGAAGATTCAGGTCGCCTGAATTGCTCTGTGGAGCAGCCTATTACGTTATTATCCACCTTGTCTGGAGCGGATGGAGACTGGCGGTAATATGCGTCCGTCGGGGACGCGCTGTCCAATTGCAGACGGCGCGGCAGCGGGCGACGGGCGACGAGGCGTTCTCTCTCTGAGGGGAGGAGGCGCCAGCGACATGAACAGTGCGGGCGAGGAGTCGCGGATCCGCTCGCGATGACGCGTGGGCAGTCCAATGCGGACGTTTCTTCGCTATTAAAATAGCTAAATGTAATTTTAAAAATGGTAGTAATTAACTCTTTTCTTGACTGAATAATCTAAAATAATTCGATAATCAATAGTTCGAGAGAATAATCAATAATAGTATTCAACTTTTGTTCACATATCGAACCAAAGAAATAAAGTTCGGAGCCTATTCCATAAGTGTGTACGTAAATGGATACGTATTGTTTTGGGCTGCGATTTGTCTTGTGCGTGAACGCTCGTGGTAAAGTACGGTTGCAATGTGGTTCGCATGGGTATTGGGCTCTACGCTTTATTCTAGAGAGAGCGGAGAGGAGGCCTCTCTGTTCAAATCGGCAAGGCAAGCTCTAGAGATATCCATACGCCTGTCGACTTGCTGATAGACTTGGTACGGCAGCGGCAGCGTGGAACTATTAGTATACTCGTAATACGGCTCAAAGGCTAGTTGTGGGTCCACGTCCAGTGACGTTCCTCCACTGCATAGACTCTGGAGCGTCTGCTTGCGAGTGCTGGGGAGATTCCTCTTTGGCCCGGGCACGCCATGCGGGCTGACGTAAGGTGAGCGGACAATATCGTGCCAGGTCGGTTCCTCTGCGGTCCAGATCACTGCTGTGTTCATTACTACTGTTGTTCAGTAAGTGACGATGGTTGACATGTCCGGACAAAGTAGTGCTGCTTTCGGCAGGGTTACTGGTAGCGGCTTCCGGAACGACTATTTTGCTGTCGTGGAAGGACAGCAAAAGATAATCAAGGAAGCAATGGTGGCAAAGGCGAAGTTGAGCAGGAACGTGCGGAATGACTGCGACTGATACAGCATGTCATCTTCGATAAGTTGTAATACTTTAGTCTGACTCCAAGAATTGTAGCATAAAGGGTGACGTGGTAACATTCCACTTCTTGCCATCAGGGTGGAAATCCCGTGACATTCCAGCTGGAATTTGTGGTGAATAAAACGGGTTTGGAGTTTCCTTTGAGTTCCCTCGACCTATTTTACACTCGATTCTTCGCCTTTCATCCCACCATTTCTGATTCATAATTATTTGACCATTAAATAAATCACCATCTCTGGCTGTGAACCCAAATACCAACTGAAGAATCAGATTTGAAAATAAAATAATAAAAATATTTCATTAGTATTTGAGTGACGTACAAATCGAGAGTCGTATCTTAAAATGAGTGGGGAGGAAATCAATTTCCTATATCAATGCTGCTCTATGACAAGATTAGTCTTTATGCTTTTTATTGCTTCTGAAAGAGGCGCTCGCGCCCCGTCCCAGCCACGCCCGAGGGCTTGCTGCGTGCTCGGGGAGGCGAAGGCGCCGTGAATGCGAGGAAGCATACCCAGCAGACTCTGCCGCTTGCAAGACACGTTTCGCTCGTAGCTTCCGTGTGAACACTGCTTAAATTCTCTCGATTAAAAAGGAGTGAAGAACTGAAATTCCTTAGTCTTTTATCATTACGAATAATAATAATAATAATTATTATTATTATTGTTGTTGTTGTTGTTGAAATGTAACGCTGTATGGTAGGTATGACCCATTTAGTATCAATTTTCAATAGATTCCTGGTATCTATTGAAGATTGAACCTACATGGTCTCGACCTACATCCAGCGTTCCAACTACAAACTAAACGTTTAAAGGATCAACAGGAACAAAATAACAACAATCTACATATTATTATTAGTAATAAAAATAGCATTATCATTATCAGCCATTTCCGATCACACTACACGTACGTTCTCTTTCGAGGCCCAGTTATATTCTATCCCGAAGGGAGATTAACGTCTGTCATTAAAGGGATCACCCTTTCAGTTAATTCCCTTGGTAATAAAAGGTTAAGCCATGAATTATGAATTTCGAGGTGATAGGATGATGAGAAGTATTTCAGTCTTTTTTAATCATCCCAGGATTTGCCTCTGACCGAGGGGAAAACACGAAAGCCCGGTCAGGATGACCGCCCCGGGGATCGACCCCGGGCCTCCCAACGGCAGTCAGCGCGGTACGCACTGAGCCACTTCGCTCGTCATATTATTATTATTATTATTATTATTATTATTATTATTATTCTCTTCCACTCAGCTGGGGGAAGGGACGTATAAGGTCCAAAAAAAGGATTATTCATATTTGTATTTAGTTTCCTGTCTGATCGTTGCAATGTGTACTTTGTTTTGCGTTTAATTATTTCATTATTAGAGCCACTGTTACAGTTGAGATTTTCTGAGCATGATGATTTGGATTCTTGATTAGAATTTCAGAATGCAGAAAGAACGTTTGAACGTGATGGAGTACTGCAGAATGATCTCTTAATGATAGGACGTGTAATAAAAATGCGTATTCGTGAAACTTTATTATAAATACATATAAATTGTAAATGGTATTGTAGAGTAGCTTAAAAATGGCATCAATTCTTTTCAGGCCTAATAACAGTAACTTGTGTTAATTAACTTGCGACTTTAAAACAATGTAGGTAATACTTTTCTTCCTGTGTTGCAGACAGACGAAAAAGGAGAATGTAAAATCGCCACCAAACCGGTATGTCTTAAGATCATAATACTGAATCGTAAATTTACTGATTAATAATAAGTATCGCACGTTTTCTATTAATTAGTTACCTGTCTGCTGTTCATTGTCATTCATTGAATGAGCATCGACGTGCTTTGGACGATTTATCATTTTGGCCGATGAGAGAACTTGATATTGGCACATCATAGTCGTTGGCACATAATAGCCCTCTACAAAAGTTATTCCGTTGATCCCACCGAAGTGAAGCGTGACTCGGTTCACGATGTATATTTATGAAATAATCACGAAATACTGGTCTAAGGTCACGGACCCAGAAGGCAATTTCATGTAACGGGGTTTCGCTCGGGGGACAAATATGTCTTGACCAACGAGCTAGAATATATTACATAGACTGGCTGAAGCACCTCTCATCTTTGAAGCAAATTGAAGCTATGTTATTTGCAGTCAAAGCAGCGCCCTTTGGGAAATAAAGTATTCTAGCATCACGTTTGGCGCTGGTTACGGACGGTTACACCGCCATTCGTATGTTTTGACTTCAAAAAGATGGCGGCCACTAGTTCGGCGAGCCTCCACCAAGAGCGCTGAAACTATAGGGACAGGCACTCTATGTAGATTATTGTAGCTCGTTGGTCTTGACCAAGTTCAGTGTGGCCTCGTCCGCAACGCAGTGTACGGTTCTCGGGCGCTGATAACATCACTGCGTGCATTTGGAGTAGTTTGTGAAATGCCCAGACATGCCCGTGAACGTTCTCACCAGGTAGCTATTGTTACCAGCGACATTGTTCTTAGTTCTCAGAACATTTGGAAGGCCGCTGACCCTTGGTGACCGCAGTCCAGTCTCTTTCACTGTAATGACGCGTTGTTTTAGAAATGATGCCATTTCTTCCGTTCAAGCGTTTGTACAAATGTCCGTAAAACGAAAAGGGCCATTTTCGTGTCTAGACTATTTTAAATGGATATTCCAAACAATGTTTAGCACACTTTATTTTCCTAAAGGGATTGACATTGTTAGTGTGCTTTTACTTCTCAAGGTGAATTGTTTAAAGACTCATTTACGACTGGTACGAATTATGCAGAACAATGGGAGATCAGTTTTTAAATCGATCAGAAAGGATATTTACGTTCCAGTGACGATACCTTGATTGATCAGATCACGAGTCTTGTTCTTTATCTTTTGCTTTTTTTGTTGGTAATTTACTTTAGACTGGATTTGTAGATACTGTTTGACAAGAAAAAAATTAAAATACAAGTTACTACAAAATTGTAGTAATAGATTATTGATGACTCAACGATGTAGGCACTTTATGGTTTTACTTCGAAATATTCTCTCAGACTGAACAACTTACTTTTTCAATAAAGACAAAAAAATATATCAAACCATATTTTTTATCGAAGCTAATTATATCTTCAGTGCATGTGCGGCATTGATGAGTAACGCAGACGATATGTTCAAAGGGATTCAGGTATATAATTTTTTCGTTTTGAGTTCAAGACTGGCGTCCTCAAATTCCCTTGCCTTGAACAAATTATATTGCCTCGAACATCCACGTGCCTTGTTGAGCTGTGGAGTCTCGACGTTCTGAAAATCTCATTGAGTAAGTGAACAGACTGGTCACAAGGTGTGTCAATTACTCCTTTGTTCAATTAAAATTCATTTAACTCCAGTGGCGGCTCCTTCGGGGCAGGCGAGGTTGGCACTTGTCTACCCTTATGATTGTGTACTAATTTAATACATTTTATTATAATAAAAAATTAAATTAATATTTACATTATATTAAAATTGTTAAAATATTCACATGGAAATGTATAAGGAACATTTCAATATCGTGGCACGAGCCATATTTTCATTCCAAGCATTTTCTAACAGCCCTTGTCCCATGCGATCTAACTTCACGCAGACATGCACCCGTTGCACCTGTTACGATATGCACGGCCGGGCGTTGCCTCGCACCGTATTCTGAGAAACGTCTGTGTCCATACTTGGCGCAGTACCATCGTACGTAGGCCAGAGAATTCTCGTTCTGCCCGCCCGCGCAGAATTTCCACTAACACCTAAGACACGTAGCGCGTGTGTTTACTGCTTTGTTGACAAGTTAACAAGCGGAGAAAGTGGTTATTATTATTTTTTTTTCATTTTAAAGTAGTGGCTGCAGATCATTAATATTACTTGATTTTTTTATATTTGAATCTCATTTTACGTTAATATTACATTGAAATAACTACACAGACACGCATTTTGGATAATGGTCGACCTACTCTTATATTGAAACCGGTTCTACGTCGTTCTGGCGTGAAAAGAAAAAAGAAAAAAAAGAAAAAAGAAAAAATTATGAATATTTTTTCACGAGTTCCCATTGCTTTAACTCTCAAAACATTCACTAGAAATAAACGGAATTATTAGTTTTCTTCTTCGGTGAATTTCATTTGCTTCATCGTCTTAAAAAGAGATTCGTGACTAGTTGAAAACTACTATGTGATCAAAAATTCGAAAAGACGACGTTCCGCGCGGTCGCTTGATATTTAGTCCGCGCTGAGCGGGCAATGGACGGAACTAGTTCTTCCTTCTCAGTTAAGAGCGTGCATGAGTCGTTCAGTGTCAAACACCGTTTCGGTATTTGGGTATGGGTAAAGCTCATTACGCGGAACCTTCTACTGAGTGGTGTCACATCGGTCTTGTCATCAAAAATGATGTCATCTTACGTTCACGTTGATGTGAGAAACCAATGAGGTGCAAATGAATATTAGCTGTAAGCTTTCGTGCCTATCCAAATCGAATAACAGCTGCAATCTCTCAGCAAGTAATACCGTGAGCAATCACACCAATAACCGTTCTTGTGCATATTTAAGAATTGGTCATCCTGCTAGAGATCTGTACACACTCATACTCGAAGGAATGCTACTTCGTGCTGCACGTCGTGCGTCTACATTGAATCACAGCCCGGCGCGCGTTCTGAATACAAACACCATGCAAAAGAGAGAGCCTCCTCGGGAACACTTTCCGTTTGGGCGCTGACGTGCGGGTGTGACGCGGTGTGCGCAGGCTACAGAAACACTCGTGTCAGCAGGAAGACATAGTCGAATCGCCGATCATTGGTGGGAAATTGGCAAGGCAAATGTGCAGTGTTCGGTGATGGTAGACGACGAGAACCAAAGTCAATTGTTCCTTTTATAACATTTTTCTATAGTTCATTGTATTTGATCTGGTTTGAAAGCTTTGTGCCATTAAATGCAGTATGTATGGTGCAGTATACTACAGCAACATTGCGACTACTCGATGTTTTTAGTTTAAACGGTTATTTTGTAATAATAATAATAATAATAATAATAATAATAAATAATAATAATAATAATAATAATAATAATAATAATAAACTATGTAATCGGTCATTCACATGTCACTGTAACACCTTTCATGGCTAGTCTGTGTTTGGTTGGGCAAGGTCCCGTGGCTGCAACGCGCCCTTCATTGTGGCAAGAAGCGATTAAGCAAGGGATAGTCAAGCGTGTCGGAAGGAAGGAAGGCAGGTAGGTAGGTAGGTAGGTAGGTAGGTTAGCAAGGAAGGAGCGCCTTGAGGAGGAAGGCGAAGGCGAAGGACGGCGGCGGCGGCGATGGAAAAGAAAGGGCAGTTGCGAAGCGTTGTGACCTCGTCATGCACTCGCGCCGCGCCAGGCGCTTATCTGCCCATCGAGCAGCGTCGAGGCTCGATCACGAGCGCCCCCAGCGTTTCGCTGCGTCGCCGCTCTCCGAAGCCTTTGTCTCCGCCGCTGCCGCTCCGCTTCGCGCGCGCTCCTGCGCTTCCGCCTAGATGCCGCGCAGGATCGTGATTGCATTGTCACGGTTTCGAGACTCCTTGTAGGCTGGGGATTTCCTTGCCGTTCCAAAGCATTACTTAAAGCGTGTGTTGAATAACCTTCATTTTCCAGACACAGACATTGTAACGGAAAAAGACACGTAGAATTTTGAATATGTCATTTTGTCAGCCTAACATTTTCCTACATATGTCCATTAGGACATATTCTCCATCTTTTCTTATCTCCTATTTAGACATATTAAATTTTGGTATGTATCCAATAGTTTTTGTAATACAGATGTGTCATTTTCAATGCCCGTCAATTTTAAGACTACATTACGTTTGATTGTTCTGTTCAGATCGGTTCAATGATATAATAAGCACATCACTTCCTTACTTCATAAACCAAGTGACTAAGATTACCACACTCTTCCATAGGCGTTTTGTTTGCCTCTTGCACTGACTACAGCTGCACCTGTCGCACTTTCCTCCTCGTGGAGCCATCACCCAGTGTCTTGTCTGTATCGTTGCCCCAACTGCGACCACTTCCGCGGCAGCCGCTCGGCATCGTAAACTTCCCTCTCGCGTTTACGACCTTCCCTTTCTCGATCACTTCATCATCAGCTGCCGCCGCCGCCGTGATGTACGTCCTCCTGTATCGTGGGCTGTGGCCGCCCTTGCCGCTGACCCTCGAGCGCCGGCGGAGCAC